AAAATTTTAACTCTCGCCTTATCACAAGGCAACAACAAAATTAATTCAATTCTTGCCTTATCATAAATTCTCTACAAAAATTACAAGTCAACCTTCGTCTTATTGCAAGGTGACAATACAATTTATCAATTTAACTCTCACATTATCATAAGACATAACCAACGTTCATCCAATCAATCTCTCTTGATTCTCCTTTGGGGTCATAATCGCCCTAATACACACAAGTTAACCATGAATAATGGAAATTAATAAATATAACAGATTCATACTCTCGCCATATATAAAGGCATTAACATGAATTATCAAAACAAAGTCAATAATTGATCAAGTACAAAAAGAAAAACATTATCATAATGACCCCCTTAGAAGGTTTTGCCAAAACCTTCATCGGCCACATACATAATCACAAAGAAAAAAAATGTATGAGGATAACGAATTCCCACTATCTATCTGCTTAAACACTCATATATGAATAATTTCTCCCTTCATCTCGAATTTGCAGCAACGATTAAGTTTTGGCTATGGGATTTCACACACACACACACACACACACACACACACACACACACACACACACACACACACACACACACACACACACACACACACACACACACACACACACACACACACACACACACACACACACACACACACACACACACACACACACACACACACACACACACACACACACACACACACACACACACACACACACACACACACACACACACACACACACACACACACACACACACACACACACACACACACACACACACACACACACACACACACACACACACACACACACACACACACACACACACACACACACACACACACACACACACACACACACACACACACACACACACACACACACACACACACACACACACACACACACACACACACACACACACACACACACACACACACACACACACACACACACACACACACACACACACACACACACACACACACACACACACACACACACACACACACACACACACACACACACACACACACACACACACACACACACACACACACACACACACACACACACACACACACACACACACACACACACACACACACACACACACACACACACACACACACACACACACACACACACACATTAAAGATGTTGAAATTTAAAACAATTAAATAGTGAAATCAAACCACATGAAACCAACCTAAAACAATTAAATCAAACCAAATAAAACCTAGTGAAATCAAACCACATGAAACCAACCTAAATAAAACAATTAAATCAAACCAAATAAAACCTAGCAGATCCAAAACAAAGTAAACTAATTTTAAAAAAAATAAAACATAACCAAACCAATCCAAATAAACATTTGGAGGAACCAAAAGAAATCAACCGAACAAAAAATCCATATATATATATATATATATATATATATATATATATATATATATATATATATATATATATATATATATATATATATATATATATATATATATATATATATATATATATATATATATATATATATATATATATATATATATATATATATATATATATATATATATATATATATATATATATATATATATATATATATATATATATATATATATATATATATATAGAGAGAGAGAGAGAGAGAGAGAGAGAGAGAGAGAGAGAGAGAGAGAGAGAGAGAGAGAGAGAGAGAGAGAGAGAGAGAGAGAGAGAGAGAGAGAGAGAATCAATTGAAAGACATACATGACCAATACCAAAACCAACAATAAAAGGGAAACCAAAGCCGTATATAATCAAATCTCCATCTTCAAACATAAGTCAAAGATGACATGCCGAGAACAATTTAGTGATTTAATGAAAGAATTTTTTTCTTCAATAGAACCCAACATAAAAATCAAAGCAAACAAGTTCTTAAGCTTTTGAAAACTCAATAAAGGATTAGATGAATAGTTCAAGGAGAATCGAAAAAAGGCTCTGATACAATGTTAACAATAGAGATGACAAAATCTGAGAAGGATAAAAAGAATAGAGTTTTAATAATGTTAATAACATCATTTATCAAAATAAGGGTCACAACGACAATATATAGTGAAACTTAAATATACTAAATTACTTTAAGCCAAAGTATAACAAAAAGATCGTAATACATTATCTAACACGTACAACATTACAAACGCACTCAATAATTTAGTTACTCGAATCTACAACTTATTATCAATTATTCCTTTACCTAAATTTTATTGAATAAGTTTCTACACATATGAGCAACATCATAAATATATTCACTAACTTAGCCCTTATATTTGGCCATTTATTTCTAGATTACTCCATCTATCTATTCTAATGATATCAAATAAGTCTTACATGTATAAACACAACTATAAATATATAGGGGTGGCAAACAAACATGCTTGCCCCATTTAGGTATGCCTCGCAACAGTCAGCAAAAAATGAGACGTGAGCATCATAGTAGAGAGGGGGCTCAAATATATTGGCTTGACCCGCAAAAAAATGAGGTGGGATGGGCCATGCGCCCACCCATAGAGCCTTAAAATGGCATAAAAAACATGTTTCACCCTGTTAATGCACGTGCCTGCCAAAACCCTCCAAGAAAGGGTTGTGGAGGGGCTCACATAATGTAGGGTGTAGACATAAAACCTTGACTTTGCCCTTTAAAAATTATGGGTTAAACAGGCGTGCTTGACGGACCAGCTCTGTCTTTACCCAAATTATATAAAATAAGACTCTACTTGTATGAATAACACAAAAACAAAAATTTATAAATTTAAAATTCTTATTATTTTGAAAATTGAATGTGTTTAAAAGATATAAAACCCCATGGTCAAGGTAAAATTGACAAGAATCACGAGGGGGATTTCGATTATGTTGATACTTTTTTTTTTCAAGAGGATCATTAAGAGAAAGTAATATCATATTCACTTTCTTGGCGAAATAGATCCATTGTGGTGAGTGACTCTAACTTATCCAACTTCAATGCCTTTATCATTAATGACATGCGAGTTTTAGGGTTTGTTTCTACAAAGGTCTAACAAACTATGAAGTTTTTAAGCAAATCATTAACTAACATGGTTCTGAAAGAAGAGATTATTTATATGGATCGAAACACTGGTTAGACACTTCAATTGGTGGTCTCGAGATAGTGAAAGAACAATAAGAAATTGTGTGAGGCGAGCAAAAGATTCAAGGTGAAGGCCTCCAACCACTCACTAATTTCTTTGGTGGGGGTTCCCCCTCTTTCCATATTAGTTTTTTTAGGGTTTTTGTTTTGTCCCCTCCTCTTTGTATTTTTTCTTCTTCTTTTGTTTAATATAGAGTATTGATTAAAAAAAGTAAATGTGTTTAGGGTTCATTAGTGGCAAACATAAAAATATGAAAAATTAAAATTAAAAATATTGAAGAAAAAGTATAAAAAATAATACTAAAATATAATGGAAAAGATTGATGAAGAAAATGGTTGGAAGAAGAGAAGATTAACACATTATAATGAGAAATAATGAATTGTCAACCACATGACATTTAATTTGACATGTCAACACTATTAATGTTTTTAATCTGACATGAACCAAAATGTTTCGACGAAATATTTTGATCTTAATAAGAAGACAATAGCCGATAATATTTACCCATTGAAGGTTCCCTCTTAGCTGAGTGAAAAGAGTGAGTGATATCTACAAACACTTTGACACTCAAATTAATGAACGAACAAGACAAGGAATAATATTTATAGGTTTTAGATATATCTATACCTTGACCGTAACATAACCTTCTTCTTCAAGACAAATGTCGTCATATTATTCGTTATGTCATCAACGACCTCTATTTAATCGCACCAGACAGTGGAATGCATTTAAGAACAAAATTTATCATGTTCCTGAGACCTTAAACCTCTTCCTTCTTAAATCACAATCATATACTATCTCCTGACTTATTTATTAGAAAAAATTTACTTTTTACATTCATTAAATAATCAATATATTTAATCTGCATAATAGACCAAATATATTAATTTTCTAATGAATCTATAAAATCATCTTTCTTTTATAAGTAAAACCAGAGAAAATAATATTCTTGATCTTACCGTCCATCACAATCATTTAATAAGACTCAATCACTTTCCTCTAACCCAATATCCTAATAGAACAATATTCTTTAAACCTCAATCCTCAACCTTAACAAGAACAATCACATAGACTAATGAAATAATATAAATAAAAATACACGATGAATTATTAAATAGATTATTCATTATGTCATCTAACGACCCTATTTAATCGTTCTAGACAGTGAAATGCATTTAAGAACAAAACTTATCATGTTCTCGAGGCCTTAAAGCTCTTCCTTCTTAAATCACAATCCTATACTACCTCCTACCCTATTTATAAGATAAAATTTATTTTTTACAATGTATTTGAACCGCATAATAGATCATATATATTGATTTTTTCAAAGAATATAAAAATTAATTTTCTCTTATAAATAGATCATGAGAAAATAATATTTTTAATCTTACCATCTATTGGAATCATTCAATAAAACTGAATCACTTTATTCTAATCCAATATCCTAACGAACAGATATTCTTTTAACCTCAATCCTCAACCCTAATAAGAACAATCACGTAGACTAACAAAATAATATAAATGAAAAGACGATGAATTATTAAATTGATTATTTATTAGCACATGTTTTTCAAAAGACACGACGCTTCAAACTATAATCTCCAACGATTTCCGTACGGATCGAAAAATGCACAATCTTAATAAATTGCCGAGTTGGCACATTTGTTTTCCACATCTCACTTCCCAAACTATCCTCGTTTATTTTGTTTGTCCCACCTCACCTAGATCTCAGCAAAATCAACATAAATCAAAGCAAAAAATAAATAAATAAAAAAATTAAGTCAAACTAGAATCTTGTGCAGCTATAATTACCACTTTTATATAAACGACCCCAAACACTTCATCTTATGGCTATAACAGCTTCTATTCATAATCACCTATCTCAAAACAAACAAACACTAGGCCAAGAAGCCATGGTTGTGCCCAATGGTGATGCCGATTTTGACCCTAGTGCTCCTCCACCTTTCAAGATTGCAGAAATTAGAGCTGCGATTCCAAAGCATTGTTGGGTCAAGAGTACTTGGAGATCTCTCAGTTATGTTGTTAGAGATGTCTTGGTTGTTGCTGCATTCATTGTGGCTGCAATTCGGTTTGATAGCTGGTTTTTTTGGCCTATTTATTGGCCTCTTCAAGGAACTATGTTTTGGGCGATTTTTGTTCTTGGACATGACTGGTAACAATTTATGTTTTTGTTTTTGTTTGGTTCATGATTATGTGTTTTGGTTTCTGGTAATGTTTGGAATTGAATGTTGTGTTTTTGGTTTGAATAGTGGCCATGGAAGCTTCTCTGATAGTTATTTTGTGAATAGCTTGGTGGGCCATGTTTTGCACTCCGCAATTCTTGTTCCATACCATGGATGGTTAGTGAATTGTTCTTAGAAATATCTTTATTGTTCATTGGTTAAATCTTTAGTTGTATCAATGTTCGTAGAAATTGTGAGTTTGTCAGAATTACGATGACATTTTAAAGTGTAATTTTTATCGAAATTGTTTTAGATAAGTTTGATTTTGTTAATTTATCGGTTAATTCAAACATGTTCTAAATTCATGAATTGTAAGCAGATCAATTTTTTTTTGTTCTTATGTTTTTTCCAGGAGAATTAGCCATAGGACACATCATCAAAACCATGGAAATGTTGAAAAGGACGAGTCATGGGTGCCGGTATGTGAATTAATTGCTTCTATTTGTTTTTTTTTATTGATTTAATATCATAATCACAGTTTAGTCGTGTTAAATATAATACAAATTTTATTTAATCATGGTTTTACTGTGACAAATATTTTTTAAAACCTTGTATAATCATGTGTGTAGTCTGTCTTGCATGTCACAAAGACGAATCTGAATAAATGATGAAATCTTTATGAAGCTTTTTAAATTAATTATGTGATTTTTTTTGTTGGTGTCATTATCTTAGTTGACAGAGAAGGTTTACAAGAGTCTAGACAGCATGACAAAGTTTGTGAGATTCACTGTGCCTTTACCAATGTTTGCATATCCAATTTATTTGGTGAGTGATAAATTTTTTCAATTATTTCTACTATTTGGAAAAAAAACATAACAGTAAAAGAATCTGAATTTTAATATTCTGATGTGAAATTTCATTTTTTTCAGTGGAGAAGAAGTCCTGGAAAATCAGGTTCTCACTTTCATCCAGATAGCAACTTGTTCTCATCCAATGAGAGAAAAGAAGTGACACTTTCAACAGTTTGTTGGTTTCTCATGTTTTCTTTTCTTCTCTATTTGTCCTTCACAACTAGTCCAATTTTAATTCTCAAGCTCTATGGTGTTCCCTATTGGGTAAAAATTTACAGTTACACTCTTTTATTTGTTTGCATAATATAAATGCTGTCGTCAAAGATTGAATTTTAAATCAATAATTTATACTCTTTTATCGCAACTATCACAATCAGTTGAAGTTAGTTTATTTTGAACGATTGCAGATATTTGTAATGTGGTTGGATTTCGTCACATACTTGCATCACCATGGTTATACCGAGAAATTACCATGGTACCGTGGCCAGGTAAAACCATAATCATTTAATTAATCATCTTCAATTTTTAATTTAAGTTACATTATTAACTTATTATTCATCTGAATTTTCATTTGATTACTCATGTATTCAATTTAACAGGAATGGAGTTATTTAAGAGGTGGCCTTACAACAGTTGATCGTGACTATGGTTGGATTAACAACATTCATCATGATATTGGCACTCATGTTGTTCATCATCTTTTCCCTCAAATCCCTCATTATCACTTGGTTGAAGCGGTACTTATATTTTCTTTTCCAAAATTTCAGATTCTTTTTCTTTATGATTAAATTCGTATTTAATTATGTTCAAACACTAAACATTTTTTTTTGATCAATTACACCTATGTACATGATGTCGTTATTATTAGTCTGAACACTTTATCTCGTTTCAGACACATTTATTAATCTGGTTTCTAATAATTATCGTCATTATACGATATATACACACAATTTTTGAATATATTATTTGTAGTCGTTGTCGTCTCAAACTTTTGAAAAAACCATATATAAAAAGTTATTGAATCATATATTTTTTAAATATCTTATTTAACTTAAAACCAACTGTGAAATATGTATATGAAAGGTTTTTTCACCGTATTTCAGACTGTTTTACACGCTCTCAGAAACGGTCCGTGTGTTTCTTGAACTCGCTTGATTATTTTTTTCATTGCAGACAAAAGCAGCAAAACCAGTGTTTGGAAAATATTACCGTGAGCCAGAAAAGTCATCACCAATTCCATTTCATCTAATAAAATACCTAGTACAAAGCATGAAACATGACCACTTTGTAAGTGACACTGGTGAAATTCTGTTTTATCAAACCGATCCTGAGCTGAACAAGAATCACCATGACTAAGTAACCGTTTTGGAGTTGTGGTTTCATGCTAGCTGTTACACATGACTTTTTGTCTACTTTATAAGAGGAATGGTCCTCACTGGCTGGTTAGAGAGAATAATATTTTTTTTTTTTTTTTTTTGGGTTTTTGGAGACAATAATATAATTGCTTTTAGTGGAATATTAATATATTTGAAATAAAAGAAATATTTATGTAATAAATACTATTGAATTGTCAGTTTCATCTGAGATCTTTTTCTACCACTTGTGTTCTGAACATCACATGGGGAGTTTAAAGTTTAAATCAAAATGGTGAAGTGATTTGTTTCATTCCTAGCCATTCTCTTGTTTTTACTTTTGTGGTGTAAATTTGCATTGGGTTTTCATTGTCACACGATGGTGAAGTGTATATTCAAACATCAACTAAGCTACCATGTTATCATGTTGTAGGTTATATGATCAATCTTAACCTAATTATTATGTTTTATATCAATCTTTCTAAATTGTTTTATTATCTTGTTATTAATTAAAATAAAATATTTTATACATTGATAAGAAATCAAATGAGTCATATAAGTTCTTATATTTCATTAATTCTGTTTTTTTTAATATTAATAGTTTATTATATTAAATGTTTTTCATATTAATATAATAACTGTTAATTAAATAGATCATTTTTATTAAAATTCTCTAACTCTAATATTAGTAGATTACTTAATTATTTTAATGCTTTAAAATGATAACTTACCTATTATGTTAGATATACTGTTTAATATTGCTTACATTAAAAAATGATTATTTTTGAAAATGGAAAGTATAAAATAAATTTAGTATAGTTTTTCTCAAGAATAGTAAAACAAAAAGTGCATATAAGAAACATGGTATAAGTTTTCTTTTAAAAAATTGGAAATTGGTTCAATTCTATTGTTATTTACACAATATATATTCTTTCATAACTATGATAAAATGTAATCCTTTTAATAATAGAATATTATTATTATTATTATTATTATTATTATTATTATTATTAAAATCCCTTCTAAAAGAATTATTATTGAACCTCCAAAGACATTGGACCTATTCCTAAAAACATCAATTAAATAAATAATTATTATTCATGTTTCAATAGAAAACAAAGAAATAAAAACAACTAAATTTTTTTTTGGAAATACAAATGAACCCCTATCAAATAATATGGCGAATGGAGATAACAAAAAAATAGATTAATTTTTTTATTCAAAACTAATGTATGTAAATCACATTTAGCATCGAGACATTACATTTTGACACCAAAAGTTAGATCACCATTATAAATATATGTATTTTTTTAAGAAAAAAATAAAATTTTAAAATGTTAATATATTAAACAAAATTCCAATTAACTTAGAGTTTTGAAAATTAATCTCTTGAGATTACCCACAAAAGGAAGCATATATTTATGGCAAGAGAGTTTCTTAAAGGCACCCATTGCCTTTTTTACACAACATAACTTTTCATATATGTCATTTGATTTTGAAAATATATCTCTGAACGCACCATAGTTTAATTATAGGTTAAGATATTTTAGAAATATATCTCTGGATGTATCAAAGATCAATTGAAAGTTAAAATATTTCGAAAATATATCTCTGAAACAATTTGAAGCATATTATCGCGTCAGACTCTTCTCTTCCCACACTTTTTCATTTCCATTCACAAACCTATTCATCTCTCTCATTCCCAAATTTCTCAAATTTCACCAAATTTAATTTATTCCGTCCGAGGCTCAAGTAATCATTAAGTAGCATCTAGTGCATTATTCAACATCTTCCAAATCATATAATCCGGGTAAGTTTTTTGAATTTTCAATAAATATCGAGTATTCTTGTAGATGAAATAGAATGCATTGTTAGGTTTAGAAATGTTTAGATATCAGTTGAAACATATTTTAGAGTTAGTGTATGTATTGTTTATTGGTTGAAATGAACTATCAGGGCTTCAAATTTCTCATTCTGATGGCAGAAGACGCCATCGTCGCGACCTCTAAGTTGTAGAAAATTTCGGAGATACATCTCCAAAAAATTCAACCTTTCATGCACTCTGGTGTTTCCGGAGATACATCTGCGAAATGTTTCCGTAGATGTATCTCTGGAGTCATCTCAGTCTATTTTTTTCTTTTTGTTTTATATTTTTCTTGTTGTGCTGATTCAACAGCTAATTTGACCTTGCAGGCATAATGGCTGACAGAGCAGACCGATTAAGACATGGACAAGTTTCGCAACACACATCCGTTAGACGAGAGCGGAGTTAGTCGGGTCCGAATGCAGCAGGTACCTCTGGTCAGGGAGAGGCTTCGACTGTTGATGTACAGTCAACTTCTAAGGCTCTGTCTACCCCTGGGGTTCAGCCTTCACCTCAGGCCATTCCATCTTCATCTCAGGCCACTCCAACTACATCTCAGCCCACTCCATCTACATCTCAGCCCACTCCACCTTCTTCATCTTCTTCCCGCAGACCACAGAATGCACCAGTGACCCGTCACTACCCTCATCCTCCCGCAGGCGGCAGGATGCACATGTGCCACCTCCTGTTGATCCGGTGCCACCTCTTGTTGATCTGGTCGCACCTGATGTAACACCCTTCTAAACCCCACGAAAAATATATGAATAAATCAGAGTAAATTAACATGCATTTACAAAAGGGCGTCACACAACTTCAAAACGTCAAAAACACCTGTCATGCTCGTTAACACTTTAAGAAATAATCATGCTTTTCAAAGTTTCACTTCGCATGTAGCAGCGGATTTATTCTATGACAATTTTCGTAAAAGAAACATTTGTGTTCATCACATAAACCAACATCACTTAGGCACTAAGGCCAACATCATATTATTTTGATAAATATGAAAACATAGTGTATCTCTAAAACATAAACCAAGCGATCCCAGTGTTACATGGCCAGAGCATGACTCGACCCGACATAATTAAATCACTAAACAGTTACACCAATAGCGACCTCGTAACTACGAGCAATACTACTCCTTGATACCTGCACGATTTCATGTAGGACATCATTCCAGCAGAAGGGTGAAAAATATTATCATAATAACAATGCATATAATCATATATAAATGCACAAGCACCGAATACATATATTCCACATTTCTCACCGCAATTCGTTACAACTCATCATGTACGTCACAATATATGTATAAACAAATATGGATAATCACCAAGCATATTCATCATGCACACATCCATAAATCTCATCATTCCACATAAACATACGCATATTATGTTTATTCACCAATTCACAATTACACATACACAACTCTTAAATCAACAATTTATACTCATAAGCATACTTTCACACAACAATCACATATTCACAACTCTCAATTACACAAGTCATGCACATACACATATTTTCATACCACAATAATATATGCTATGTGACTCAATGCAACTCATGCCATGTGGTACCAACACTTATTATCATTTTTCGGTTTTTACATTTAAACCGGGTCCGTCCCCTAGACCAATAACAACAAAAGCCCGTCCTCTAAGCTTTCAAATCCACCCTTCTAGGTTTGGGACAAGTCACTAGTCTCCACGAAACTAGCAAGCATTGCCTCTTGACCAAATGATGCATATGCAATCAACAACCAAATGCACTTAAGACCATTCTCGCATCTTAATCCCATGCATTCTCACATAATTCATCACTCAAGAATTATAACATGATTGCACACGCAACACATCTCATAAAATCAAAGTATTCATATTTCAATACCATCACCATGTTCATTAAGCAATGCACACATATTCACTAATATGTTCCCATTCATTCTTCACATATAATCGCATACCATCAACATGCATTCACAATATCGTGCCAACGACAACGAACTCAATCATATTCATCGTGCATTTTTTAATCAATTTAAACAATGCATAAATTTGTCAAAAGACCATATTTCATAATCAATTTCACAATCTAGGATTTACGCCATACGGCTACCCACAACACATCTTATCACAATAGTACACAAACTATTCATTTGAAATAAGGATTAAACACAATCAAACCAAACAATCAACATTGGATGGAAAACACAAGAATTGAAAAATGCTGTCACACTCGCTGCCCTTCGCCTGACGAAGCATTAGCGAATGCTCACTGCTTCACTCGCCTGGCGAACCCGCTGGCGAAGGCAGACAATAGCTACTGGAAGTGTTCGCTACCACTCGCTGCCTTACTTGCCTGGCGAAACCTCTCGCCACCTCCTTCGCCTGGCGAACACGCCAGCGAAGGATGAGTTTGGCTACTGTAATGGTTCGCTACCCGCTCGCTGGGCTTCGTCTGGCGAACCTTCGCCTCCTGTTCGCCTAGCGAACACTAGCGAGTCTGCGAACTCAGAACCCCAAACTGTCCAAAATCATCCAATCCTCACAAAATCAACTGATTCAATTCCAATCAGTCTCAATAGTCTTAGCCCAATATTATTCGACTAAACTACGCCATTAATTCCCGATTCTAACCCTTCAAAACTCGATTTCTACCGATTAAACCTCTTTCTGCCCTAAATAGAAAATGTAAAAAAACATCCAACAATCCAAAAGCACACACATACATGATCACAAACATTGATAGGATAATAATATTTCACACCCTTACCTTGATTAAATCGAAAGCTAGAAGTTGTTCTTGATGATTTCCAAGTTTTCCCTCTTTCCTTCTTTTTTCCTTTCTTCCTCTTTCTTTCTTTCTTGTTTCCCTTATATTTCTATTCTTTTCTTTCTATCCCTTTTCTTTTCTCTCTACTTTCCTTTTATATCCTTCTATTTTCTTTCCATCATAATTCTTTTCTCAAAAATATATATCCATTCCTTTTCTCACCAAAATATCTCATCTTATCATTAATTAGAGAATATCTAGTAAATCCACATTATTCTACCAAATAGAATAAATCAGTTAAATCCAGTAACTCATATAAATTAAATAAATCCAATAATACATTTAAATCAGATAAATCACATAAA